GGTGATGACTAGCTGCCTTCTCTCTAGTCTTACACTGCTAAATTAGGGACGGTTAGCGCAGTTAGCCCTCGTGTAGCTTTGTGCGAAATTCAAAAACAAACAAACAAACATTCCGATACAGTGTCTTAAACAAGGGCTCATTCGAGCTTCGAGGAGGTAGTTCGAAGTATCGGATCAAATAGAATTATTGTGATTCCAGGTTATTCGTCACCTTTTCTAGGAAAAACAGTGGCTTGTTGCTCTTCGTCAACTGGAATATTTTGTTTACTATTATGTTAACACTAGCAGGAGATATGCTCAGCTTGATGCAAGGGCTACTTAGTGTTGCTCCTGATTGACTTAGGATGTGGCTTTTGGAACCCGTTACTGTTCTAATTCCTTGTTTTTACGAGTATATTATTCTTTCATCGAAGGTTCTTTTCTTGGAAATATCGTGTTCTTTGACTGTACATTGTTTAACAAACTTTCTATAGAAATAAATATTCTGCCGCGAAAAATACTTCCAGCCATATGCTTTTCAATTGCGGCATTGCACAGTCAAATGATAGGAATTTTGTTGTGAAGCGAATACATAAACGTTAAACGTACCGCCCGCAACGCCATGACTCACACCCGTTGCGACAGTTTACCATATTAGCATATGCCGAGCGTTCTTATAAAGTGGTTGTAACCTTCCTCTGTACGTTACACATCTAAATACTGTATTCCACACTCTTATTGACGTTTTTAGACACTAGATTCTGTTTTCAATATTATTTCATTAAAATTAGTACCGTGGATAAAAATGTTTAAAACGATATTAAAAAGTCTTCAAATATCTACAGAATATAAAGCTGAACTTATCCCAAGAAAACTTAACTTTTTGAATAGTTTATTAATAGGTTTTAACGTCTGTTTCACCGCTAGACAGTATGTGCTGTAGAGGATCAGAGGATGGGTAAGATTATTGTCACATAGCAGTCCACTGATGCTTTAAACTATCAACTTTTGCTGAGTTTCATTATTACTCTCTGATATTTTACATGTCAATAACATTTACAGATGGAAGTTCTGGAGAAGCATTGATTCTCTAAATCTTTTAAAACCAAAACTGCAAAATATTTTTATTCACAACATTTTATAAACAGAACAATTCGATGTTTTTTTCAAATTTCTCTCCCCGGTGGCTTAATAGTTAGTCTGAGAACTCGTAGCGCTAAACATCGGGTTTCGATACACGTGGTGGACACAGCATAAATAGTCCATTGTGTAGTTTTGCGCTTAACAACAAACATACAAGTTTCCCTAATTTCAGTACTTGTTTGCAAAAGTTGCTTACAGTTGTGATACGGGAGTAGTTGAGAAACTTCTGGAATTGTACGTTGATTTTACCAACCCAGACAGAAGGTACATATTTGATCAATGTTTAGTGCACATGCTAGAGAAAACGTGAAACTGGTTTTGTAAGAGTTGAAAAAATGGAACAAATTGTCTGGCTGTATTGAGTTTTGCTCTGTTTGCTGCATTTCCGAAACAGCGTTCATGTGAATTAGTTATTACATATTCTGAATAAAACATCTGTTTCCTTATCTGTATAATATGAATAAAATATGTGTTTCTTTATCTGTATAATACGGTACAGAACTGAACTAAAAATTCATTTCTTCCAAACTATAAAAAAATGCCCCCAAGTGGCTCAGCGGTACGTCTGGGAGGTTGTAACGGATAGAGCACAAAATAATAGCTTATTGTGTAGCTTTGTTAGTTAACAACAAACAAACAAAATAGAAACGTTTCATATGTGAACACTTATATTATAGTAGGTTGTACGTGTTGGCAAACACTTTCCCTGCAGCCTAAAAGGCACTTATGATTGGCAGGATCGATTTCTTCAGTTACTTACCATTACACAACGATTTTGTTATGTTCGAGGATAGCACAAATAATGTACAAAGAACAAAATAAGTACATGTTTATTCGCAAACTATATTCCCATC